AAGTTCTAACTGATTATTTGCAGATACTATATATTAACAAGCAAGCACCATGAAGGCTTTACCAATTGGCCTTCAAAGGAATCCTGGAATTGGAATTCTGTTGATACTGGTCCACACCGAGATCTTGTAGGTTAGTTGATCTTGAAGGAATTTAAATGGACCATAAGACCAGTTTACTGATAATAATGATGATAACTATTAATTAGATATACATCAATATGCAATAATTTTGACCCCCTCAAARTATATTTGTCCAGTTGTCCAGTATATTTATGAAAATTGAGCATGGTTTCAGAATTATTGTACATAGCTGTAGCAATTCTATATAGTTCATTAATATATTATTATTTGCTAGGTGACCTAGCAAAGGCTGTGCGTAATAAAACAGATGTAAAATTCTGTTTGTACTTCTCACTGTTTGAGTGGTTCCATCCTTACTATCTGGAAGATGCAAGCAATGGCTTCCACACTCAGAAATATGTTGATGTAAGTATAGTGATTCTTTGTTTASAACTTGTATTGTAAGAATTGTTAGGGCTATGGTTGTCATGGTAATGTCACACCTTCATGGTAGTGATGGTAGTAGTGCTCATGCCATTGTCTTTCTCAGGAGATAATGCTGCCCCAAATGTATGATATCATTAATAACTACAAACCAGAATATCTTTGGACTGATGGTGATTGGTTGGCCTCAAGTGAATATTTCAAAAGTACAGAATTTCTTGCTTGGCTTTATAATGAAAGGTAATTGCCAGACTCCTCCAATTTTTACCTGCAGTTAATTGTTAAATCATTTTTTTATATACATTGTACCTAAATTAAAATTTTGAAATKTATTCTGCATGTGAAATCACATCTTCAAGGAAGTAAAGGAGTAGATAAACATTTTGAGCATTGAAACACTCAGATACTAACAAAACTAATATTGTAGACCAATGATCAACACAATACTCATTGCTGAGCCAGCTAGATACAATATCATACCTCCAATGTACTTTAAAGTGCTTTTGATAGTAAACTATAAAAGCATAACAGCTGCATGGTATTTTGTGGATGATTATTCAAAGCTTGTTTAGCACCAATCCTCACAGGTTCTGTTCAGAGTTTAACCTGGATTGATACAAATCAGGCTTTTTTGCTGATTAATTATGAATTATTGTTACATTGCAATTTTATATATTGATAGTCCTGTCAAAGATACTGTAGTTGTCAATGATCGGTGGGGAAATGAAACCAGAAACAAGCATGGAGGAGTGTTTACTAGTGGAGATAGATATAATCCTGGTAAGTGCATATTATATTGGTGAATTTCATATTGAAGTAAGATATCTGTTACCGCCATTCACGCTAAATTGAGTCCTTTGTACTTAGAACCTTAGAATTTATATTCCGTTTCCTTTGGTTATTTCTTCATTGTGTATATATTTGCTAGCAACCGTGTTTGTGTACCATCGATAATAGAGAATAAAAGCCATGAACATGAGTAGTGGAACGCTGTAGTAATAGTATCCATTGCAAATTGAAAATCAGAAAGAATGAGGAAGACAAAAACATTGTTTGTTCTTTTATCTCTGTCTATGTACATGTAATAAACACAACTTCCGCAGTTTGTTTTTTTCTTCTTAATAAAAGCCAAAATTACTGATCAAAMCCTGATATAGATTAGAGATCTTCCTTGCAGACATGACCATGATGAGGATTGGCAACACAAAAGGGCGACAAAGAATTTAGTATATGTAGGATTCATTTCCTTTTGAGACTCTTTTATTATGTAAGGTTCTACAATCAACAAATACAAAATACATTACCTACATAAAGTTACATTTGGGGACCGGTAAAACGAAGTAAAATTACATAAAACTTACCAAATCGTGAACAAACCCACACACAGAAATTACGCCAAACTGAATAAATTAACTAACTGAACGGACGACTAAATTGACTTACGAATACACTTGGGACATTACATAAACAGAAAAACTAATGAAAGGTGAACGAAATGAAATAATTAATCTTACAGTATATAAATTAATATATAATATAAATTTATTTTCCGCCAAGGCTAAGACCCCTTTTGTGATGTACTCTCTCATATATATAATAGTTATATATTATATTACTTAAAAAAATACTTGAAAAAAATGGTGTATATTATTATAAAAATATTAAATTAAATTATTGTTAAAATTAAAGATTGATATGTTAACTAATATTGTATTTCATCATGTTTTGCCATTAGGAACACTTCAATCTCACAAGTTTGAGGATGCAACCACATTAGACAAGCCRTCTTGGGGTTTTAGAAGAAGAATGAACATCAATGATGTTCTATCAACCAAAGAGTTTTTAAAAGAAATGGTTATAGTAATCAGGTAATATTTTTGCACACTATAGAATAATGAATGTACGTGTATTCACACATAGCTAGAATATGCAGTCAATCCTGTTTTAACATGGTTTAAAACGTTTGTTGTTCAGKTKTAAAGACAACAACAAAGTCAACCATWTATCATATATGTATTTTTGCAAGATTATTTGACATTAAAAAACTCATACACAATTTTAATGAGTTATTAGGCCAATAGAATGAGCCTATTTGGTCACATGCATGGACCTTAGTTTATATCTGATAAAACACTCCTTATTAGACGTATTCTTTATATAAAGAATACAAATAAGGGTGACCTTTATGAGATATTTAAGGTCCATGACCCTAGCAAAGGTCTCAGGTTTGATGCCTGATCATTGACGAATGCAGGATGTCTACCGATTGCAACAAAACAACCATTAGCACTTCTATTTTACTTTATTCGTATTCAATGTGGGATGACAAGAGTGCTTTGTAAAGTGATTCACACATGATCAGTTTGCCCTATTTATCTCAAAATTTATTTTTACAGCAATTTCTCCAAGAATTTTAACGGATTTGAGTTTCAAACTAGTGTTGGAGTTTTTGAAGCCGTTTTAAACACTCGAAATTGTTATACTCATAATATTTTCTTTTCCATGCTCCCTTTTGGTCTTAGCTTTGATTATTGTGTGACCTTTTTTGAACCAGACTATGTTTTGTTTTCAATTAGGTGTATACAATAATATGTAGTTTACAGGTTCATAAGCTTCTGCATTACATGGAAATTGCAGAAGTGAATGTTGTAAATGACTGATAAAATGCCAGCACTATCAATAATCATGAATTTCAGTGAAATAAATCACTAAAAAACTTGAAATAAGTTAGACTGATTCCATAAGTCGTAGTATTCGCTCCTCAATTTTTCGGCTTGTCGCTCAAACTAGCGTCTGTCCGGGAGCAGAAAAAAAAGAGCGACCTGACAGACTGGTGGAATCAGTCTAGAAATATGGTGATTGTAGAGCCGATACTAGTATAAGTTTGCTTTTGATAAGCTAATGTGTGATAGATATTAATTCACGATCGGTAGATTCACGATAAATTCGCCGTATCTCTCCATATGCCCTTTTGAGAAACGCTCGATTTTTTTAGTGTGGCTATGCCGCTAATGGTGTGTGGATTTGTAAAAGAATCCACAATCCCGGACAAAACTAGTTGAGACACTGGCATTTTTTCACTGCAAAATATCCCATTTCTCGTATCTTTAAAAAATCACTGATTTTGATCCTCCCCTCCCCCCACCAAGCAATGTTGTGTGTGTGACGTGATGCTAGAAGGGTGTGCATGATTGTTCAGTCCTTTCAACATTGATTTGAGGGGGAAAGGGGGAGAGTTGCACAGAAATAGGCAAATATATAGATCATCGAAATTCAACCTATTTTAAGAAACGTCTCAACAGTTTTGTCCGGGATTGTAGCGTTCGACATGTTCGATCTTAGAGCGGATTTCATATGAGTGGGACACCGTTACCGCACGGTTACCGCACCTTTCCTGCACAATTTTGGTGAACCAATGGGGTACTATAATTTGGTTACATTACGATTACGGTCACAGTACAGTACCGTCCGTTTCCCACTCATACGAAATCCGCTCTAAAACTTTGCCGGCTATACGAAGGTCCGAAGAAGCACGAGGCGACGTTTGAATCGTTGCTTAGAAACATGAATGACAGTAAGACAATATATGTTAAAAATTAAAAAAGTCCCGGATATAATTTGAACCATACCACAGACGAAAAACGTCGGTAATTTAAGACATGGTCTTCCTTTGGAAGCCCATGTAAAAATGGTACTTTATTCCCTAAAATCAGGCCTGGTGTTCTAAATGTTCTCATACTCGGGATTTTAATGTACTCCATCCCTAAATAAACAAGAGGATCATCTATCACTGTATCCTCATGGATCACTTAACATATATTTCTCTATATTTGGTTAATGATAATTTCACTATAACAATCAATTTATAATCATAGATGTGGCCAAAACTACGTCAATACATTTTGATTAAAAACACTTCCTCATTACKTTTCATGTAGCTGTGGTGGAAACTTTCTATTGAATGTTGGTCCAACACATGATGGTCGCATTGTTCCTGTTTTCCAAGAACGTTTGCTACAGGTGGGGGAGTGGCTTGGCGTGAATGGTGAAGCTATCTACAAAACTAAACCATGGAGAGTGCAAAATGACACCACAAATCCTAATGTCTGGTGGGTATTTTTCCATCAAGTCATTTAGTCATTTATTSACCCATTAAACGTAAATGCATTTTTTGGAAGAGAGCTCCGCGAATTTCGACTCCGTAGTCGAATACAACCGAAACGAGACGAAACGCCGTGGATAAAGCTCAGTCAATCGTGAAAAACTGTTGTGTTTCTAAGAAATAAAACATTATTTCCGTTCTTCATAGCGCTGTGAAAACCGAGGCGTTTGTTTGGGAGAATTCGAGAGCAGATTAGTGAAACATAACCGTCTCGAATTCTCCCAACCTTCCCTCGTGTTTGCATCAGGCTATCTAAACACTAGTCTCCTCGCAGCCGTTCTTAGTGGCGGGCTCCCTGTCCCCCGCCCCACACCTTACAGCCGTTACGTATAACACGTAGGGAGTCGAACGAAAAATCCTACTGGATTCATGCATTTTATAGATGTCAATCATAGACATTTCCATGATTACCATTGGACAGGTCCTCCCCCAACATGAATTGGTTTCCTTGAATATCAACAAAACTAGCCAAGGATGGTCAAAGCGTTTTCAAATTCTTTCCGTTGAAGGAGAGCGATAATTCTGTCTCTCCCTCTCCGTTTGAAGTATTTCAGAAATTTTGTAGTACTTTGTGTGCTAGTGAAGTATTTGTTTTGAAAATACAGAGACTTTACACAAATACACACTTGATTTCAGCGATCCACCTACAAGAAAGTCAAAACATCGGTTTTGACTGAAAGTGATACCAGTTAGGTGATATCAAGCTGATTATATTTAAGCCTACATTCTATGCACGAACAGTCTGCTTTCATTACTTGTGTACGTTATAAATAAATAAAAATATTATACGTGACAATAATGTTCTGGTATCAGTTTCTTGCAAGCTTGTGCACAAATAGACGCTATTTTAGCTTAAAAGTGTATGCATATATTCTAAAATAAATCTATCCTTAGCCAATAATTAACACTTACTTCATATGGCCTTCTTCTCCATGCTAAAACGAATCTTCAGAATTTTACACTGCAAACTGCTAGCTGCCATCTTGTAAAACGTAGTTACTAAAACATGGAACGAGCCAAAACCACCCAAAACGAGCCAAAACCACCCACAACGACTGCAAAACCAGCCAAAACCAGCCAAAACGACTGCAAAACCAGCCAAAACGACCCACAAACAGCACAAAATCTAACCAAAACCGCCAAAAAAACTGCCAAACAACGCAGACGGCAAATGGCTATTCATACGGTACCGTAAGCCGTGTTTGTTTTCTATTCGTACGGACATTGTATATATTCTGAAATTTTAAAGTGATTATATAAGWTATCGATTTTAAATTACTATAATTTTGTTTAGAGYCAAATAATAATATGAATACGCWGYAAACTTCGATTAATAGCACAATTTCCCGAGCTGTTCTCTGACAAATGTATTTKTGTAAAGTCTCTGTATTTTCGAAACGAATCCTTCACTAACACACAAAGTACTACAAAATTTCTGAAATGCTTAGCCCTCTCCGTTTGAAGAATTATCACTCTTCAACKCAAAGAATTTGAAAACGCTTTGACCATTCTTGGCTAGTTTTGTCGATATTCGAGGAAACCAGTTCATGTTGGGGGWGGAGCTATCCAATGATTGACATCTATAAAATGCATGAATCCAGTAGGATTTTTCGTTCGACTCCCTACGTGTTATCCGTAACGGCTGTAAATCTAGAATGAACTGCTTAAATCTAGAATTACTGAGATTTATGCACGGCGGCTGGTCTTCTTTTGTTGTGTCACCTCAAAATCAGTTCCTTTTTCCATAATGAAAACCGCTGAGCATAGTCTCAAAGGTGAAACCAATCTCTTTCGGAATGCGTTGGAAAGGCTGTCAGGTATGGCTGCATTGAAACTCGACGAAGGAATAATTTGACTGTTTTGGGGACGATTTACGATCCACTACAATGAATGTTTTCCAATTTTGTAGATCCTAAATTGTCATTTCAATCGCTAAAAGGAAAAATAAATAAAACTAYTTATAAAATGTCGAACGTTTTCGAACTATGATTTCATCACCTTCCAAAGTGCAGAACCATTGAAGCGTACTAGTTTTTAAGTGATACAGTAAAAACCCGCGTATAATATATATACCCTGTTTTCTTGGCGGTTCAGGCTGATTTGGTTCTTATATAAAGGGTTATAATCTGCAAAATCGGCCTCTAAGTGTTCTCAAAAGTTTCTTAAAACAAGGAACATAATTGACTACCAATATGCACACAGTTTTAATTAATCAATACAATGATGTAACTATTTTAGTTGAAAAAAAATTATAAGTTAATGTGTGCAATGAAAAGTAGTGTTGTTCTTTGATATGTTTCCATATAAGAACAACTTTTATTTTTCAGGCTGAATGTGTTCTTATATAAAAATGGTACAATCAGGCCTGGTGTTCTCAATGTTCTTATACGCGGGTTTTTACTGTACTCCATCCCTAAATAAACAAGAGGATCATCTATCACTGTATCCTCATGGATCACTTAAYATATATTTCTCTATTTTTGGTTAATTTATTCAGGTGATGAACTCATAGTTTGAAARCGTTYGGCCTTTTTATAAATRATTTTGTTCCATTCTCTCATGATAACTAAACTAATTGATTTGTGTCCYCTACTTTTTAACAGGTACACCAATAAACCCAAAGAGGATGCTGTTTATGCAATTTCCTTTGAATGGCCCACTAACTTCCTCCTAAAGCTGGATGCACCAGTGCCAACTAATAAAACAACTGTTTCACTCCTGGGCTACCCAGAAAAGATTCTCTGGAATAAAACCTACGAACCAAATGGAATTGTCATTAAAATCCCTCCTATTCCTGAGTCCTTAATGCCTTGCCAATGGGTCTGGGTATTCAAACTCACAAATGTATATTGATTATATGCTTACTACTGCTTCACTAATTGTATTCATATTTGCACCTTCACGGAAAAAGTGCATTTCGAAAATTGACTTTTTTCAATCATTCAAATGTATTTATAGTGTATGTATAATTTATGCATTGAAAATGCTTAAATCATAATAAGTTAATGAAAACAATAGAACAGCTTAATTCTTGGATATAATGCTGTGATAGTAGCCCTTGGAAACAAGATGTTCGAGAGTGTCTCAATAACCTCCCTCGAACTGCGGGTCTTTGAACATCCAGTTTCGGCGGCAACTATCACATCAGCATACCCTCGATTTAACTATTCTATTGTTTAAATAGAAGTAATACAAAGACAATCGTCGCAGGTAGCTTTTTATTCAAATTTGTATAGGTCACTAATCAAACAAAGGCAGCCATGTATTCTTAATTTTCACTATACGTCACACCTGCCATCTTGAAGGAACTTCATCAAAAGGATTTCTCATGAGTATCGTTCATTCCTCATCATGGCCACCGGTCTTTAATCTTTTGAATCTCATGAAAACGGTTGTAAACGATCAATTACAACTATGTAGAGTGAACGTACTTAATCCGTGAAACAAATAGTACTAATTACTACTAAATAGTGTTGATTATACAATAGGAAACAAAGGAATCTGTATAATTTATCACCTATTTTGTAGTATTTATATTTCATGCATTTAGTACGAGCACTCTATGATTTTCAATGTTAATAAAAATTAAAAGATGTAGAATAAGTTGTTTTCAATTCACTAGTACGTATTCCGTCATAAACAGTCTTTTTTGCG